TTCGGAGAAATCATAGCGTTTTATTCTAATATCGACTGTTTACTTAGTTTTCGTTACATACCATATGTAACATGCAGTCACAGATGAAAAAACAAAAACAAACAAATACTGCACGATCCATGGCGATAGATGTATCGTCGACAACTTCAGACTCAACCGCGTGGGCTCGCTCGCAAGTGGACGCTTCAGGATCTTCGTCGATCCAGTCGAAAGTCAATTATGTATTATGTTAAACAAGACATTTTAATCATTTTTATAAAAGTTCACGAACCAGCCATTTTGACTGCTTTGGTAGTTCTAGTGTTAAGTATTTTATTAAATTCAAAATAAAATAGAAAACTCGTTGTAACAGATGAAATTATTGTTTTTCGTTAAATTTCACAGATCCTAATAGAATATAAATGTATAAAATCCGCAGTCTAGTTAACAATATTTTGCTTCTTCTTTAATCATTAATCGATTTCAACCAGGATAAAGGACTGCCTCCCTGATAATATCAATTGGCAATATTTCCTCGCGATGCAAAAGCGATACAAATGGTGTATTGTACAGAATGATCTATAGAAAGACCGAGATCGGATCCTGTTCCGATTGATCTGCGACATTTTGAAGGTGACAAGCGAAGCGATTGGTGTGTTTGCTCGTAATTGTTGAATAATTATATGTGCAAAATATCATTTAATTGGTGATCAAATTGCTGTGCGTATTTGTACCGTGGCGGTGGAACTGCGTGAACGATGTCGTTGTTTAAATCATTAATTTTGTCGATGTTTCTTCGAGAGCCTTCTTCCTTAGATCATCCTGTATACGGTGTGGTGAGCATCGCTAGAGCTGGTACAAGACGATCGATCGAAACTTGCGATTTGTTCCATTAACGCAATGAAATTAATGAAATGAATGAAATGTGATAAAATGTGATAAAATGAATGAAATGTGATGAAATGAATGAAATGTGTTGAAATGAATGAAATAATTTAGTGAACGAGGATACCAAAGGATCGAATTGAACATAGATAAATGGTCTGTACAGGCTCTAGTGATGATAAAAGAAGAAGGGAGATCGAAACATGGCGGAGATGGAAGACGAAGGATCGTGACTTTCGACTTTCGACGATCTGCGTACAAGTGATCGTGTTCATGGGGAATTTTCTGATTTTTGTGTTAGTTTTTAAGTTACTATTAAGAAGTTATTCCAAGTTATTATGAGATACCATTATTAGAATTTTAAGTTATTATTATTAAGAAATTATTCTAAGGTATTATAAGTTACCATTATCATAATTTATGTTATTATTGTTAGAATGTTACTGTAAAGAGTCTTAAAGGTTTGCTCTATTGGAAATTTCTTAGTCTTTCGAATCCTGATCGTAATTATGTAAATTTTCCAGTCTCGAAGCCAACAATAAATAACGATTCAATTGTATCTTTAGAACCGAGAACTTTCGGAAGGTTCGTAGAATTGGGAAACGATATGAAAGTTACATGGAAAAAAAAGCACCTCACGGAAGCATTGTTCGAAGTAACTTTCGTCGAAATCAATAGTTACGAAGCTGCTAGAAGTGGTTCCAGTCGCGTGACCCACCCCGTATAAATTAAGAGTATAAAGTCGTTGCGCATGAAATGTTCTTTTCAATCAATCTTTCAAAGGCCTAGCCGTGCCTTTCCGTATCACTTTTTTTACTCTGGCTTCTAATCAAACTCAGCCATCGCGTGGTCATTCTGAAAGTTTCTCACGTGTACTAACTGCATAATTTCTGTAGGATCATTTATTCCCTCCTCGACGACTATTAAGTTCCCTTACGAACCCTCGAAATATCGTACGTAATTATCAGCACGGAATTCTTTGTTCCGAATGAGAAAAAAAAACTTCACTGGAAATAGTTAGTTAATTATTCATTTACTTGGACTGCAAATTTAACGAAACATTAGGGTAAAACTAGGTTATGGTTACCTAAAAAAAAAAGAAAGAAAATTAGTTAACAAAAAGCCTCACTATTGTTTTACGCACATGAAATATAAATACACCGTGGGAAACTACACAAGCTTGAAAATGCAGTAAATCCTCGATGCGTGTTCGAAGGCTCCTCGGCACTGAACAATAAATATTTCATAAACTAATGGCCATATGCGGCTGAAACAAATATTATTAGGTTCAGAATTTTCAGCTCTATCACCGTGCTAAACCTAATTAAAAAGTCAGAATTATAAAGATTAGTAATTCTTTGGAAAATAATCTTTATTATAATGAACTTATTATATGCTATCTATAATATACTAAACTGATCAGGAACTGTGTCCGTGACGATAGTTAAGGGTTAAAATTGGGACGCCTATTGTCTAGTTTCACCCTAACGAACTTAAATCCACTTTGTATTTCCTCTCAAATCTGACGGAACCGTTAGGACAGCGAGCAAACTTCCCTATAGACTCTACAAATCAGTCCATAAAGAATCTATATTTGCATAAACATCCATAGTAACGACTGTATTTCGGGGGGTTGGTCCACCCGGAATGTTCGATCGCGCCCCGATATCGATTGTCTTCCCGCGCAAATATTATCTCGCTTCAGACAAGGTAGAGTCTAGTCAACAGAGAGGGACCTATGTATGTGTGTCCCAATTACGGAGGCTTCAAGCCAGTTTGCGTAATCATATATTAATTAAAAAATACCACTACATGAATATCATATTCTGAAGATCAATATCTGTTGCTAAACAATTCCTTTTCGTGAAGGAATTTTTTTTAAATAAAAAAATTAAATCTTTGTAATGTATGTAATTGAATAAAAACAGATTTTTGTCGGTATTAGGGAATCCTTTCAGTAACTCTGCAGATGTATTTTGGTGCTCCCAGTTTCGATGTCTTTGAATGTCGTTCCTAACTTTATTTTTCTGAAGTAGCGCTATTTTGTTCCAAATACTGTTGAATTATCGGAAATCATTTAATACAAAAAAACACATAATTATGTAATAAATTTAATTTATGGAATATTTGCTATAATTCACTTTTAGTTTAACGAAACTGAGGTTATGTTACGTAATTACATTAAACCTTTCTAGGATATAATATACATTTTATACGGTGAAGATACTGTTTATAATTGATTTATATGAAAATGAGTTCAGTAAGCATTTCTTAAGGTTCTTAGAAATTCTAATAAATAAAATATATATGCGTAATGCATATATTGTAATAAATACTTATAACATTCTAACACCTTAAAATTATCGTTTCTTTACTTCGAATCTTATTGGTTAATGACTAAATTTAATTAAAAGATTTTATTTATGTTTATTTATACATGCATTTTTTTAAATGTTGATTTTAATACCGAGGCTCCATAATTGGGACACACACTCTATGTGTGTGTACGACAGAAGGATGTTGGAAACTGGGCTTGACACGATCGCTCGCACGCATGATCAAAAGGTATGGTAGCAGCGTCTCGTCGAGCAAGAAAGGCGCCACACGGGGGTCGAGTCTGTAAACGCGTCGTTCGATTATTACGTCGTCGCCTCTCTTCTATTTTCCAATCCGTTTCTTCTCTGTCTTTCCAACATCTCCCCCCCCCCGCCTTTCCATTTTGATTTATTCGCGATTGGTTCCCCTGTCGTTTCCACGTTTTCATATTTTTCCGATCCTCCAACGGGCAAAATTGAGAAAGATTGCACGCTTTCAAACAAGGCACAGAGAGAGAGAGACAGACGACGCGTGGTTGCAGACAACACACAAGTCAATCGAACGGGTTCGGAAACAATCAACGTGAACATAACAGAAATAGAGAGATAGATAGAGGACGTAATGCCGATTATTGTTAGAATAGTAACATGACAAGTCAACGACATCGAGAAAATCAACTGAGGTGCGACTGATATTATATATATAGGCACACATCCACTTGGCCAGCGCGCGCGCGCTCAAAAAACGGTGAATATATATATATATATTTATGTGCGTACATTTATATAGGTACGCAGGATGAACGCACCTGAACACTTTAACAGATTTTATGAAATATTGAAGTCGAATTTTAAATGATGGTAATGGTAATAAATACAGTAATGTCTCGATGAGTGCGACAAGGCCCTACTTGGGAGCATTCGTGGCAAGGTGGAAAGGTTTTCAGCCCATCATAAATTTGTTTTTTTTACACTCTGCTTAGCTTCTGTTTACTCTGTTGTGATCGATTCCACAGGAGGACGCCCCCAATGGCGAGAATAACGCCGTTGCTCGTGTCGCATTCATCGAGGAATCATTGTATTTGGCATATGAAAATTAGATTTTTTAACATATAACGTATAGATTGCAATTTAGAAAGAAGAAATACTAATTTCATCAGTGAATGAACAATATTAAATAAATGAAGATTTCTAACCTGAGGCGCGAAACAAGGAATTGAAAAAAACATTGAATATTTAATCAATTACTTATCTTAATAACTTAACTCACTCGTTTTTATACACAGTGACTCACAAATATGTTTAGGGAAGACTGTAGCATTTATTTGATTGAATTACCTGCCAGATTGTGAAGTTTACTTTAGAATTAAAAGAAATTTATCGGAAACGGATGACGGGAGTAACGATAATGAAGACGTATGAATGGAAGATGTGTAAAAAAAATTGACACATAATCGTTCTTCCGAATGTATGAGTCACTATATGCATATGTTTCATTCATTAGTATGTGTTCATTTACAGGTGCATTCACCTCACGACCGTGTGACAGCTACTTGCGTATCCGTATATTTCCCCGTTTTTTCGTCGATTCTCCTCCCGCTGTCACACCCGTTTCACGTACGTATACAGATATACAGCACGCACGCACACACGGTAATACAAAAATACAAAGTATACAGACAAGTGCAAGTCTTACACGGCATCATATACACGGTGACGTTAAGAAGATAATACACAATGTGTGGATAATACAGATTGTATATAATTGATTATAGTTGCCTTTGTTTCATGATTACTTGTTATTTTTTTTGTTACACTCACCATCTTATAATCATTTATTTTGCTGATAGAGCGGAGATAGATGTTGACCTTCACTTTTGTCGGCCCATCTAACACGTCGACCGGAACAGAACAAAACAAATCGATTAATTATTAAATCAGTCCGTCCGTGCACCCGAAATTTGCGTGGTTTTATTTATGTTCTCTTTAATTATCGTCTCTTAGCTTTTCGCTTTAAACGCAATTTTGCTGCTTTTTGTCGTCTACTATGTATCTTTTGTCAGTTTTCGTTGATTTTTTTAAAAATATTTTTTTTCTTTTATTTTTGAAACGTGGAACGGATGCGATGAGTGACAGAGGAGGATGGGGGAATTCACAGAGCAGAGGATCGTGATCGAGGGGATCGACTGATGGATGGGTGGATCGTGAGAGAAAGTGTCTTCGAATGATTTCGTTAATATCACTTTGTGTTCCTCACAATCTGTTAACGCACTGTAAACATGGCGAATGACGGGTGAGATGACGCGACGGGAGTCTGGTGAACATCCAAGATGGCGGACCGTTCCACTAGAGCTCTACGCGAAACTGAACCGAATCGCGAATACAAATAATATCGGCAATCACCCAACACATCGTGTTTCACGTGATGACCGTAAAATCACGATTTACTGTCACGTGAGAACGTACCTTTATAAGTGAAATTATAGAACCGTAGGGAACGATGAGGTTTAACAAAATAAAGTATCAACGTTCGGAAATTTCGTCGAGAAACTTCGAATCTTTAAATATTTCATTACCTCAATTTATTCCTCCTCGTTTCAAGGTAGCACATGACCCCTTAAAGACGCTCATTTTACGGCCATTTTACGTCTGAGACGTCCTTAAGCCGTTAGTAAGCCGTCTTAAGCCGCCTGTGTGCTATCTGGGTTTGTTTCTTTCGAATTGTTTTCGTAAAATATTCCGGTGAAGTAAGAATTTTATAAAATAGCCCGACTAAAATATTTTTAACAGGAGGACAGTTCTTAACCTTTTCGATTAAAGTCTCTGTCGACAGAAATAATTGATTAAAATCGATTTAAATCGACAAAATCGGATATTACTCGCAACGAATAGTTACGAGAAGACACCACGAACCATCCCCGTACTTTTAAATAATGCAAAAAACCATTCATCTTTACGAAACACCCTGTATAACGTTGCTCGAAAGGTCACTCAAGTCCTACATTATTCAATCATGGATCCTTCTGCGCACATCTGACAACGATTATCGTCGTAACACCGTTCGATTTAATCACATTGATTACGAAAAGAACGAAAGTAACCGACGAATCGTCGTCGAAAAAAGGACGGATCCATCGGGTCGCAGATTCGTACGTTCGTAAAACGATAACAATCGCGACGGACAATGATCGAGTTTCAACTGAAGGAATTTCTGGACAGCGACAGCGAACAGTTCCGTGTATGATCGCCAGTTTTAAAGGGCTGTTCCAAGTTAAACGACGACAAAGAAAATAACAAAACTATCGAGAAGCTTACCAGAGATGTGAGTCAAGTGTGAAACATTTAGGGAAACACGGATGTATGTATGGCTATATGGGGGAGAAAGAAAAGACAATAGAAAGATAATAAATAGACTGCGGATTTTATGCATATATCCGAAAAAGTTTCGTTTATTTTGAACCCACTAGTATCCTTAACGAAGTTAACTATTTTTTCTTTATTCCAAATTTCCAGGAATTAATAACTTCATATTTGCATAAACATTCGCAGTCTACCGATAAAAATCAATGATCTCGAAGACTGTTCGTCGAACGGGAGATCGAGAGATGCATCGAAGCCTTACCCTAGTTTCATTGACGGCGACATTATACAGGGTGAACAGTCGAAATTACTCTGTTATTAGCAGTCCGATCGAAAATGTTTTTATCAGGTATAGCATGGTTTCAAGAGAGCTTTGACGTGATTATAGCAAATTCTTTGTCAACTCTTTTTTTCATGATTTGTCAAGGTCACCGTCAATTTTTTGCAAATACACCTATAATTTTTTTACGCCCATCTATTAGAGGACTTCAAGACGAATTCGGTAAGTATCGTAACATAACATGTGTTAGGCGTAAAAAAATTATAGATGTATTTGCAAAAAATTGAAGGTGACCGTAAAAAATCATGATAAAAGGAGTTGACAAAGAATTTGCTATAATCACGTTAAAGCTCTTTTGAAACCATGCTATACCTGACAAAAACATTTTCGATCGGACTGCTAATAACAGAGTAATTTCGACTGATCACGATTCCTGGTTCACCCTGCATGTTTGTCGCGGACGTGCAGTTATCGTAAGGTAATGTCGTGCCTATCGAGGGCAGTCTTGTTTCCAGAACAAGATCTCGCGGTACGACAGAAACGTCGACGGGTCGCTCGTGACGACAATCGTGGCCCCGATCACATCGCAACGCGTCGTTTTTTCCTCGACGACGTTTCGGGGAACATTTCAAGATCGTGTATATACATACACACACATCTGTACAACATGCCGTGCATGCCCCGCCCGTACACTTTAATCCCTTATCGCACCTGCACCGATAACGATCACGTCGTGATTTATCCTCAAGAGGCGCGTTCCTTGCTGCTCGCTCGACTAATAATAGACTTCAACCAATCCCCTGGATCCTCTCAAGAAACGTTGTTAATACGTTTTTTCCAATCGAAGATTGCCGAGGCGATCGAAACGTGGAAACGAATATTCTGCTCCTGGGCTCTATTAGAACACGTTGACGCCAGATTTTTGGGCTTTAAAATGATACTATGCGTTGCTGAGAAGATATTCAGACGGCACAGGGACAACAGTTAACTTTTGTGGGACCTACAGAAGTGAAAAGGCTACGTGGGCAGTTAACGCGAGAAAGACGTTCCAAGGCGCTGTTCAATGTGAATCAATTATTTACTGACGAGTCGATCGATCGACAGTGGAAACGAAAGATTCTCGGAAGCATCCATCAATCCTCCTCTTTCCTCGGGATCTAAGTGTGACTCACAAATTTGTTCACGGAAGACAGTCACATTTATTTGACACAAAAAGCATTTTACTTCAAAGTTTGGAATAATATATCGGGAAAGAATGATAGAATTGTAGATAGTGAGTATAGATAAATAAGATTTGCATATAAAATTTGTATAATTAGTTGTTATTTCGAAGGTATGTGAACGAATTTGTGAGTCATTATTAACGCTTAATCGTGTGGTAAACACCTAGGAAACTTCCGGTACTGTGTTCTGTGGTGTGATACATAACCTTTTCACCAAATCACCTCTCTGCGAGACGAAGGAATGGTAATACAGTAAATTCACGATAACTGCACGCTGCATGAATATCCGCTAGGAATGGCCCCTACTTAAATACGCGCGTACCCCACTTTCTATTGCCTTCTGTACCTAATGAATTAGTCGAATAACGTTCATCGACTAAATACTATTGAGTTGTACCACATTTTACTGGCTCTCGATAATTACCCGTTCCTAGAACCGCCCACTTCTCCAGCGGGTAATTATCGCGTGTCTACTGTATTAAGCACGTTCCCTGGGCGGTATTTTCAGATGTTTGGAGCGGCCACGGGACAAGTTACTTTAGAGAAAGATCGTTTTGTGGATGCCGATGAGACCAGATGGATGGCGTCTGGTGGGGAACGAAAGAAGATGGAGTGTAGGGGAGGGGGAAGCTAGTAACGGCGACGCTCTACGCAGAGATAAATTCTTGAACGCATGCGGATAAAATTGGAAAGAAAAATCACTCATCGGTTTTTTAATCGTATCTCGGACCCACATTCGGGAGATACGATCGATCTCTGGTCTGAGAGAGAGAGATACAGAGAATGTACATACTCAGCTAACGCGTATATGGTTCCCAAAGGGAGATGGAGAAAGATTCGAGCCAGAATAACTAACTAGGTAAACATTACCGACCAAAGTGGTTGCTGCGAAGCGGACAGAATAGAATCGATTCTAATTGTGACGGCTAGAAAAGGGAACCTTTGGTGTGACACGTGAACGAAGAGAACTGACTCGCATCTTCTTTACAGATAGACATTTCTCGTCTATGAGTAATCGCCTTACAGAGAGTTATTTAAAGAGGCAATAGTACGGAGACCACCATCGGAAGGAATAAACAAAACCATACCCGTTGTGTTTAGGGCGTGAAATATAGTCAGAGTGCATATTTACGAAATACATGTATAATGGAGGACACATACGTTTTTGAATCGAGCGCAGCAGCACGGAAGGAACATACCGAATAGAATCGATAATGCGATAAGGGATTAAAGAATAAGTTGGCGGTCGTGTCTGTGAAATACGATCTGAGTGTCTGTTGGTTTATGTATGTTTGTAATATGTATTAGAGCTGTAAGTATTCGGATATTCGAACTATACGAATAATTCGAATAATTTCGAATGCGAACAATTCATTCGGAGAATTCGAATACTCGTAACAGCTCTAATATGTATGTGTGCGCTATAAATAATGAAGAAGAGAAAATGTATAAAATTGGTATACAGTATGTGTGTATGTTTGTGTGGTTGCATCAGCCAACGAGGTATTAAAATCTTGGATTGTTTTAATTGTTCACATCTATACGTAGTAAAAATATATATATAGATAGATATTAAAAATATATATATAGATATTCCATTAAATCATCTACGACACAATAGCGTGAGGCGACAGTATGTGGTGTAGTTTTAACGGTTACGAGCAGCACGACTTTTCGGATTCGTTTAGATTGAAATTTGGCATCGTTTGATCTCGTTTGATCTCGTTTCATTCGAGAATTCGGTTCCCTAGAAGTCTTGTTTTATCTTGTTTCCGAGAAATTCGTGTTATTTTTTTGATCTAGGATCCGTGGATGTTGGCGTTCGATGCTATTTAAACCTCAGAAGCTGATTTTAATTTGTTTGACTTGAGTTCGATCGTGTGTTTTACAAATTTTTCAAAAATTTTGCTCGCCGCTGTCTTGAAAATCTTAAAATGTCCTTTGACATGGTCAAAATTTCCGAAATTGTTTCTCAAACTTACAATACACAATTTTGTTTTGTATTCGAATCCTCAAGCACCTTGTT